CTGAAACAGATTCTACTGCATTCTAAATAAAGTGAAATTAATATCAACTAGTAGGGCATGACATGAGTTTCCAATAAGAAATGTTGGTAAAGTCAGGAGAAATGACTTCCTAATGACATACTGTGTATAGATTTATTAGCATTTCTTTTTAATATTTCATATGTTGAACACAAAGAGAATTGGAATCTTGTTAATCATCATTTTAAAACATCTTTGTAGAATGTAAATATATCAGTGCTTGCCTTTTTTCCATACTAATGAAAAGCAAGTTGTAACTGGGGAGTGAGTATTCCTATTAAAGCACTGTCATCTATTACCAGACCTGCTTAGAAGAAATAAGCACAGATGGTGGGTCTATTACTTCTCTAACAAAAAATGTGCCTCTCTTTTTTGGTGTGTGTTTTATTCCCTTCTTCTAGTTGAAATGCAAGCAATTTTTCAAGTCAAGAAACCTCTGTAGGGATCCTTGAAATGTTTTATCCATTACTTGTACATTTAGAAGGAAAACGTGATTAGTGATTTATTAAAATTTCATAATAAGAAACTCAAAATGTCTTTGTTAGAAAAATTCTTATTTCATTAAGAAACCATATATTTTGCATGCAAAGTAAAGGCTGCAGGGAGTAAGTTTTTATATCAAACCAGGATCCTAAATTACTCATTTAGTGATGACAAAACCATTTAGCCCATGTTAAAAATACCAGTGTGGATCTTTTATTTATACTTGGTTCAATGAAAATTTGTCTGTTATATACATATTAAGAAAAAGAGCAGAAGGAGTTTAGTAATGTAAGTGTTTTATTTGGGTTGAAAATACATGCATACAATGAAATATTCAGATCTTAACTGTACAATTCAATCTTTTTTTTTTTTTTTACACAAAATGAGAATTCTCGTGTAACCAGCACCCAAATCAAGGAACATACTACTAGAACCCCAGAAATCCACTTCAGCCTTCTAGACAGTATCTCCTAGAGTAGTACTTATGGTGATTTAGAACACTGATTTATTGTTAAACTTTTATAGATGGGGTCATAGTGCATGTTCTATACCTTGCTTCTTTCATTCAGCATTTAGTTTATAAGATATTATGTATAGTTATAATTCATTCATTCTCATTGCTGTATAGTATATTATTATATAAATATACTCCCATTTATTTTCCCATCTTAATGCTTATGGACATTGGGGTTATGTCCAATTTGGGGCTATTTTGAGTAATACTTCCCTGAGCATTCTTATACCTGTCTTTTGGTAGACATTGTTGAGTATATCCCCAGGACCATGGGATTGTTAGCTTTAGTATACATGTCAAATAGTGGTTTATATCAGTTTACACATCCATCCACAAAGAGAGGGCTCCAACAGGTCCAAGTCCATGCCAACACTTGGTATCATCTGTCTATCTCATTTAAACTCTTCTGGTGTGTATGTACCACTGTTGCATTGTAGTTCTTCTTAACTTTATGAAAACAGAAAAGAAAAACTTATTTTTAAAAATTATATTTCACTTGAAGTATTTTAAATGCCCTGCTGCAGTGTTTTTCCTTATTTAAATAATATGTAAGAATAGTGATACTGAACTCCTGAATAATACACTAGTTTGGAATGAGATTCTTGATCAGTTGTAATTGTGATAAAATTTATCTGTGTTATCAACTGTGATAGTTAAGAATAAAAATGTGAAATTCTTCAGATTAATATGACATGACATTCCCGCATCTTGGAAGTAAGTTCATGGTCTGTACATAAACCAAAATGCAACCAAAATAATAGTTTACAACTGACCCTTGAAGGATGTGGGGGTTAGGGGCATAGTCAAAAAATCAGTGTATGACTTTTGACTCTCCCGAAACTACAAATAGCCTACTGCTGACCAGAAGCCTTACCGGTAACAGTCAATTAGCACATATTTTGTATGTTATGTGTATTACATACTATATTCTTAGAATAAAGTAAGCTGGAGAAAATAAATAAAATGTTATCAAGAAAATAACTAGAAGGAGGGCGCCTGGGTGGCTCAGTTGGTTAAGCGACTGCCTTCAGCTCAGGTCATGATCCTGGAGTCCCACATCGGGCTCCCTGCTCAGCAGGGAGTCTGCTTCTCCCTCTGACCCTCTTCCCTCTCGTGCTCTCTATCTCTCATTCTCTCTCTCTCAAATAAATAAATAAAATCTTTAAAAAAAAAAGAAAATAACTAGAAGGAGAAAATACATTTATAGTACTGTATTTATTGAAAAAAAAATCCACGTATAAGTAGACCCGGAGAGTTCAAACCTGTATTGTGTAAGGTTTTACTGTATTTAAACCTAAGTGATGAGACTAATTTCCGTTGCTCACATTGTCTGTGTTTCTAGAGAAAGAGGAAAATCTTATAGCAAGCTTGCACTCTATTAATTTCTTTTCACCCCTCCAGCAAGCATAACTTCCCTCTTTAGCTGGAAATACACAATGGTTCATTGCAATTTTTGAAGAAGATAGTACATCCTTTTCTAATTATGAGTAGTAAAACAATTGAAAATGCTGTAGTTACAGAAAAAAAGAAAGGATTACAAAAAGAAGAAAAACACTTTGCACAAAACTAATTGTATCTCTAGTTTATATTAGTTGGTTTCAGAAGTTTTCATTAATAATTATTGAGTGATTATATTTTGGAACTCATGTTCCCTGGATTCATACCCTTGCTGCACACTTAACAAAATGTTGCATTAGGGAAGTTACTGAACATATTCAGATCCTAGATCCCCAATCTGTAGAGTGGGAATCCTTATAATATAAATATTATATGATGTAATTAATCTGGATTCTCCAAGAAGCAGATGCGAAAAAGGGATTAAACATAAGAGGGTTTTATTAAGGGAAATGCCTATCCAAGCAAATGGGGTGGAAACTGAGTAAGGCTGGAAAAGCTGTTAGTCATGAAGCACGTATGACCCAGAGTGCAGGGAAGGGGTAAGAAATTTTGAGTGGAAGTATCAAGCATGATGTGCAACCCAAGGAAAGGTTAGGAAGGGTTTCAGGGATTCCTGAGACGAATTTAGCTATCAGAGGAACCCTCTGTCTTCCTGTGATGGCTCTGCATTAATATCCCTGCTGAACACAGTCATTGGTTGGGGACAGGTGCAGAAATAGATTTCAGAGCAAAACAGCAGGTGCTCTTAGTCAATTAAACTTGTTGTACTTAGGTCTATAGGCACATTCTCATGGCCACAACAAATGATTATCACGTAGGTAAATTGACAAACTCCAATGAAAGTATCTAAAACAATGCCTGAATCATAAACATGGATTTGTCCATTTATATATTCATATTATTCATCATTATTAATAATAAACACATTAATAAAGGAGCCACATGTGCAATCTGCTTGAAATATTTGGAAGAAAAATACAATAGTGCTCCAGAGGAGTTAAGAGAAGCTTAATATTTATAGTTTACTTAATTCCTCTTAAGTAAAAGATATTATTACATATCAATAGATTTATGTAATTGATTTCCTTCTACTAATAGTTATTGGTATATATTGCCAAATCCCTAACGTATACTGGAATACCTAACTCTATACCCCGTTATTTCTGCCTTAAGAAGCGGGTTCAAGATTGTTCTAAAAATTAAAAAAAAGATTTATTAATATCATTATTTTTGTCACATGCAATTGATATTATCAATATAAAAAAGTTGCATCATTTAATGAGAAGGATCTAGCTAGTAATTGTTTGATCCATGTGTATAAATTAGTCACTGGGTGTGCAAAATTTGGGGAGGAATTGGATATTCATTAAAACTTCTTGTGTATGGCCATATTCTCAACAGTGGAACCTCCTTTCGTCTTTTCAAAGAGCTTCCATTGCTGTAGAAAGTCCAGAGGGTTCATGTGAATAGCTGTGATACTCTGCTCAAATAGAGGGAAGAAACATAATATGAAAATGCTTGCTGGAAATTCTCTGAGGCCACTTTATTATGACTTCTGTTTGAAAAAACAGATTACTCAGAGGAGAGTCTTAAATGGAGAGAGTATGGAATGATCAGGGCATGGCCTCCTAACCCTTACTTTTCTCTATTTGTACTCTTTGTAAATAGAAACCTAGCTATTCTTCCCTGTGTGTGTTATTCATATGGCTTCGCCGTTTCTTTGGCTGGGATGTCATCCTTTGCTCTGGAGTTTACATTAACTATACCATCTAAGACCTGTTCTTCCTGTAATACTTCAAGGGCTAACACAAGCAATAACTTCTTTAATTTTTCCCCAAGTGTCTTAGTCCAGATGGACTTCTCCATATGTTCAGTGTTTACTACCCATGTTATCCCTAACCTCTCACATGGCATATACTGTTCCTTCTAGCTATTCCCATAGCATACTGAACCTCTCCTTCATTCCTAGGATTGTGACTGATGAATCTAAATTGTCATTTTGGGAAGATAGTAATTTGCAATGACTTTAACCACCTATGAAGTCACCCTATTACATACAACATGATTTACTAGACCCTTGTTTAGATAAATGTTGGTGAAAGATTATGTTTTTATCTGCTTGCAAAATATTTTACCAGGTTTAGTTGTTTATTTATAATGTTTATAATTTTGACTTTTGTAGTCCAATATGTAAAAAAAACAGTTTTGGGACTCATTTATATACCGTATACAATGAATTAAATTAACCCAGATAATATGGATTCAGACGTGTGTAATTCAGCAAGGCCTGGTAACAAAGTGGGATATATATTAGCTTGCTTTAGTATATTGATAAATAGTATTAAAACATAGTTAATTTTTGGTTGGGTCTTTTGAGAGAAAAACATTAGAATAGTTTATATTTCCATGGTAAGCATCTTACTAAAATAATGTCGCAGCTGGGCCAGGGCCTGTTCCAAGAAAAAAAGCATTGTTATACACTCTTAAAAGAGTAAGATTCTGAGCTCAGGTGTATTCAAATGGTTATGGCAGATAATATTCTGACCAGATTACTAAATTCTATATCTTCCACTTTTCACTTTGTTAGCTATACTCAGCGTGTGGTTGGAAATGGAATCAAAGCCCAATCTGGAAATCCCGAAGTCAAAGTCAGAGGAACTGATCCTGTGATAAATCAAATTATTGATAAACTGAAGCATGTTATTCAGGTAAGTGCTGATACTCTATTTATTGGTATAATCAATGGTAAATAATAAGTATTCACTTTCCATTACATGTGATAAATCTATTAATCCTATCCGATGGTCCTACCTAAATGTGAGTATTGGCATAAATTATTTGTATTGAGAGTTTTAGAAATATTTTGTTGAGTATTTTCATACAGAGTCAATGTACAGTAATATTTTAATGGAGGGCGCTCCGTATCTGTGAAAAGTAGCCATAGCCTCAGCATTTCAAGGTATAGTGAAAATCTTAGCATAAGCTTCATCCCCAATGAATGAGCTTTAGACATGGGGACTGCCGTGACAATTAGAAAAAACAAAACAGCCATAGCAGACCCTGGAGTCACTTTGCAGGCAACTCTCTGAGCCTTGCTGTGAAGGGTTTTGCTCCACTTTCAATAAAAGTTAAGTCATAAATGAATAATATGCATTTTTGTATTTATTTCCTGTATCACCTTTTGCATGTTATCTTATAATCTACCTAATGATTATTTATGAAATACTTCTGTTATATCTTTGATAACTTGTAATCAAGTATGTACTACTGTTTTTAATATATAGCATATGAAGCATGTAAATTTCTATCAAAAGAGCATTTCACTGAACTACCTTTTAATTAGAGTCAAATATTATATTACATGCTGTAATGGCCACCCTCCATTCTTCATCTATTAGAGTTTGGGGTAAGAAGGACTATATTTTAGGTATTCGTTTTTTTATAACAATTTATGCATATATTCTCATTTTTTTCTAAGTAAAACCTTGGATGGATAGTTGATTCTTATTTCTGATATTCTATGTCAGAAAGCATACCTAAACATTGTACTGAGTTTTTATGAATATTAAAATATTGTAGGGGTGCACGGGTGGCTCAGTAGTAGGTTAAGCATCCAAATCGATTTTGGCTCAGGACGTGATCTCAGGGTCATGAGATTGAGCCCCACGTGGGTCTCTTCCCTGAGCATGGAGCCTGCTTGGGATCCTCTCTCTCCCTCTCCCTCTTCTCACCCCTCCCCCTTGCTCACACACATTCTCTCTCTCTCTCTAAAAAAAAAAAAAAGAAAATCTAGAGTCATTGGTAGGCATTTCATAGTTGTTTTGCAAAACTTACGTTTATGTAGGGCCAGTTCTTGGGATTCCATTTTTATGAATGTCTGTATCTTGATCAAAGAAAATGTAAATAGGGGCCACTATGTCCAGTGCCATAGATCTCTCCCTTCCAGGAAGCAATAATGGTTACTTTGCTTATTCTATGACTGGTGCTTTGGGAAAACAGAGCTCTCACCCTGGATGGCAGAACCAAGCAAGTTCCATTGAGAAAAGTGTAAGAGAAAAATGGTGTCATGACTACTAGTGCGTTAAACCTCAGAGCCTCTACTGAGTTAAACCAGTTCTCTCAGAGAGTTGTATCCCAGGTAAAGTAAGTAGGTGCCTTATGCTGCTAGTAGGTCAAGCGCTCTAACATTTCTTGAACCTGAGTGGAACTGAGATTGTGTCAGGAGCTGAAGTGACCCTGAAGGAGGCATCAGAGTGAGCAGTATGAATTAGACCACAGTCTGGGGCAGAATGGCTGAAATCTGGATGAAGATCTGTTGTCCTCAGAGGCAGTGATATTGAGCCCATCAGTGAATGTCACTCAGGCATTTAGAAGAAGGAAGTCACGCTTCCTGTCCAATTTTTGGAACCTTGATTTTCCATAATAAGAAAAACAAAGAAGACCTCCAGGTGAAATTAATCTTGACTCAGTGAGAAACTAATGGGGATTCAGGAAGACTTAGGATATTACTTTAATTCTTGAATTTCCAGTGGCTCAATAAACAGTCTTTTAGGAACTCAACACATAAGAGACTCTGCAACAGAGATTTGTGTGCAGGAGATTTCTGGCAGGGTACCTTTGCAATCAGTAAGGCACTGGAGGAAGTAGCACTGTAGAGAGAGAGAGAGAGAGCAAGAGCGTGCAATTGTAGTAATAAGAAGCTTCTTCTGAATCCAGTAGGAACTCTGGAGCTAGGATGGCCCTTTCCAGTTGGCCTGAACTGAAACGAGGAGGTGTGGGTTATTGGACCAGTAATTGGATGAGGGCTACTAGGGTGGAGGCAGGGGAGTGTAACTCAGCTCTGAGTTACCAGCAGCCAACAATATTACCTGCGGCTGGAGGAACAAGTATCTTGCCCTAGCTGGCACCTTATAGCTTCATGCACTGTAACATGGTATAATGAGGTATGCAGATCTAGATTATTCAGGAACTCTAGTGCACATTGATCATAAAATCAAAAAGGCTTTAATATGAATCTGTTCCTTTCCTTGAGATAAAATCTTAGTGGTCTCCAAAGGGGGCTAAACATTCCCCCGGAGAGGGCACAAACCAATTGACTGGAGGGCAGGAAGGAAAAATAGAACTTCAGTGTCTATTTATTCTATCTTGCTATGTTAATATATTTGGTTGTAGGAAAGTGTATAAAATATGTAACAGCACAATGGCACATGTGTATAGGGTAGAAATACATAAATGCACCTATCAAGTAGGTGTGTGTTCAGACTTTATGGAATATATACATGATGAAAGTTGATGGAAACCTTGTTATAGGTAATGAGGATGGAGCTGCTACATAGGAAAGAGGCTACAGATATAAGAAAACTCTATTCACAAAGGAATAAGTAGATAGTCAAAATATAAAGGTTTATAAAAGCTCTGAGGAAGAGGGTTCACTGATATGTTGCCCATCCAGCATAACATCACCGTCTTCTTGTTTCATAGGTTTTAAAGCCATATCCTTTTCAAGATGGCAGAGGGAAATAATCCCATTTTTTTTTTTTTTTTTAGCTCTTGTGTTCAATTGAGTCCCATTCTTACATCTTTATATTAGTGTGCAGATCTCCAGTTATTCATGCTTAAGTTTTGTTCTAGGACTATAAGAGACTATGATATAAGATGTTACCTTTGAGGTCTATCTTTTAAAGTCTATAGGATAAAGATGGAAACTTGGGTTTGTAGAGAAGATAGCAGAAAATCATTTGTACAGGGGTCATGAAAATATTCACCTTTAATGTCTTAGAACATGTTCTCTCCTAAGCCAGTTGTCCCAAAGATGAAGAAACATTTTTGATTTTGCTAGACTTCTGACTGCTAATCATATATGTGTGCCCTGGCAGGGATGGCTGTTATACTGCCACCATGAGGGGGGCAGTTTGAAAGACCTAGCATGGTGTCAGGTCTGAAAAGTTTCAGAAAATGGTCTTCTATAAATGATAGCTTCTTCATTTGGGAGCAGTGTGAGACAAAGGGAGGAAGTAGAAGTAGGTTCAGAATATAATCTGTAGATTTAGATGATCACTTATTTGTGTTTCCACAGAATTTAATCTATTTCTTATTGTGATAGATACTAAGTGCATTTAACAGTGAAAATGACATCTCTCATCATAGGGATAAGCTAATGTTCCTCTTGATCTTTTTGCCCTATGTAAATATGTGAAAATAAACCAGCGAAAATTGGCTCCTTACATTAGCCTCCAAACACCCTTCTTTTTGGCCTGTCATTGAGCTGCACCTCATTTTCTACCCTGTAACTTCTGCAGTTACAGTCACTAAACAAGTGGGTAGGAATTTTACTTTGAATAATGGTACTTTTTGAATGTCTTAATAATTTATTCAAAATATTCAAACAGTACTTACTGAGTTCCCACCATGGGCCTGGTTCTACACAAGGTTAAAGGGGTGAACAAAGCAGACACAACTCTGTTCACATGAGATTTACATTCTAAGAAAAAATATGTAAGTACAATAACTGTCGCTGACAAATGTTATAACAGACAAAACGGGATGAAGTAGGAAAAGTTACTTAAGAAGAGTGTGCTTGTGGAGGCCACCAAAATGGGGGGGGGCAGATATGTGGGTTGATACTGAAGAAGGAGAAGAAGGGAATCAGAAAAATCTGGGAGAACTGTGTGTGGGGCAAAAGGAATACTACATTCAAAGGACCTGTGGCAGAAATAGGTTTATTGTATTCGAAGAACAAACAGAAGGCCATGTGGCCAGAACAGAGTGAGTAAAGGGTAGAGAAAGAGACAGATACTCTGAATTAATGGGATTTTGGTAGACTCCAGCAGGGAGTTTAAATTTTATCCTAAGTGGGATGGGAAACCAAAGACTGTAGGCGGAGGATGATATAATTTAATCAATGTTTTATAAAGATAATTTAGTCTTCTCTTTGGAAAATGGACCAAAGTAGAAGAAGAACAAAAATAGAGGAAGTAAGTATTAAAGGCAGAAGATCATGGTACTGGGACTAGAATAAGAAGAGTGACCAACCTACGAAGCAGGGAGATTTAGATAAATACGGGAAGGAGAGTTAGTCAAGATTTGTTGATGGATTGGAAATGGGATAGAGAGGGGAGAGCAAGCATGAGAACTACCTTTGGTGGGGTGATAGTGTCATTAAATGAAACAAGAAATTCTGGAAATGGAGCAAGTCGGGCTTAGTTGTTGGGGTTGATTAGAAATTATGGTTTTGTTACATTTGAAATGCCTCAGACTCCCGAGAGGAACAACCAGAATTCAGGGGCAACCACAGAGCAGGAGGTGCGTGTTTGGGAGCACTGGTGTTAAATAGTTTTTAAGTCATGGGACTATGAGGTGGCCACCTTCTTCTTAGAGAATTAATTCACAACAAAACTGTTAGGGGAGAATATAAAACAGCAGAATCATATGAAAGATATGTATTCAGAAAATCTAGGAGTGGAGAAAGCGTTTATTAAATGTATGTGATACCATGTAGCTACTTAGACAGTTGATGTAGGACAGACAAGTTATTTAATAACATGAACTTTTCTTTTAGTGAAGAATAACCAATGTTCATTATAAGAAATTGAATTTCACTATCTTAGAAAATTGTACAAAAAGAGTTGAAAATAAATGTTCTAACACTTATAAAACAAGCAATCTCAGGAAATAAGCCTTGTAGACTTTTGCTGTACTTAATTCAAAA